AAATTTAAGAAAATAAGGAAACACCATTGCTTACCTATTAATAAGAAGTTCCTAAACTATAACTCTGAAGGCCATATGTATGCAGATTAATAAGAGTTTGATGAAAAGATGGAATGATATAATTGTTTTATGTTTTAAGTTTATATAATTCACTCCGTATAAAATTTACTTGAAGTGATTTGAAAGTTGGGAGATAAAAACAAGTCAATGAAGAAAGAAAGAACAGGGGAAAAGGCAAAGGATTTTCCTAAAACCAGTTTGTAATATAGTGAAGTGGAAAGAACCGCAATTTTGTCTTGGGACCTGGGCATTCCTTATCTGTCAAATGGTGATACCACCTGCCTGGTAGGGTTGTTGTGAGGGTTAAATGAGATTAGATATATAAACTGCTTAGCATTTGTTCCTGAGATATTTTTCTTTTCTGGCTTCAATCAATTGGTGAATTCAATTAGTCAGGCATGAATATTTACTAAGAGGCAGCTATGTGCAGCTATAGGGAGCCCCGCAGTGCAAGGAGATTTATAGAAAACGACAGTATTCTTGATTACTAGAGCTAGAATTTAAATGCATTTAAAAAGTAATTTAGAAAAGCAGGTCTGATAATATCACTCACTAGTAGGGAAAATAAGCATTTAGAAAAGCAGTTTATTTGCAAAGGTTTGTGAGAGAGTCCAGGTTTAGGACTGATGGATTAAATTAAAAAAAACCCGAAGTAGGGGCCGGCCCCATGGCCAGTGGTTAAGTGCGCGCGCTCCGCTGCAGGCGGCCCAGTGTTTCGTTGGTTCGAATCCTGGGCGCGGACATGGCACTGCTCATCAAACCACGCTGAGGCAGCATCCCACATGCCACAACTAGAAGGACCCACAACGAAGAATATACAGCTATGTACCGGGGAGCATTGGGAGAAAAAGGAAAAAAATAAAATCTTAAAAAAAAAACCCAAAGTATTTAAAAAATAGAAAACCCTACAAGATTACTAAATTCACGAGGTTTATGGTAAGCCTCTTCATGGTGGAAAAGTGGCCATTTTCTCACATTAATTCTCATATCTTCAAGGTTTGTTAAATTTCTGTAGACAGTCATATTGCCAAAGTTAGAGATGTAGTCATTTGTTTGGGGGACTGGATCTACATACGTTTATCCCATTTTCTTTTTTAAATTTCAGGCGCAGAGTGCTCTCTTCCACTTCACCCCCCAGCTATGGAACTTGCTGGACAGGCTCACTCAAAATTGAGACAAAACAAAGTATCAGTTTTCTTTCATAACCCTTCCTGTGGCCACATTTCTGTCCCTTAAGGCACAGATTTAACTATATAAATTTGTTTAATGATTTTCTAATTCTTTATTTTGTTTGGATCTTTTATTTTATTTCACTGTGTTATTTAGATAGGTCTAATGAGGTGTTGATTAATATAGAAAAACTTCCCTATAGGCTGATTAACAAAACTTTGTCCATTTGACATGAGATTTAAGAGTTAACATCTGTCTAGATGCTTTGTAAAGTATAATAATTTGCTTATTTATTATCTGCTTGATTACAACATCAGGAACCAAGAGCCATCTAATTTATCTCAATGAGTTTTCACCTGCAGTACTTAAAACTGGTTAGGGTATCATGGTTCTTTGAGATTCCCACATTTGTCAGTGTTCTGTGTTTGGCAGGAAGTGATATTCTTTATTCCCTTTAAAGCTGGGAATCCATAAGCTGTAGAAGAGATACTAAATTGATTTCCTGTGAAGACGTAGTAGGCATCATTTCTGCATTTGAGGTGCAGTCCTTGTTTCTTGTCATACCTAATTAAAAGAGTTTTGTTTTTAAATGTCACATTTCTCTTGTGGTCATGGTTACAAATTTGATTTATCCAATTTTATCCTGGTAGGAAGGAAAACAGTTTCTTAATGAAACTATGTAAACTGGTTCATAAAAAATAGACTGTTATGATACTTAATATAATATTAATGTTTGTGCTAAGTAGCTTTTAGACAAGGCCAATCAATATATTCAGTATTTTTCTACAGAATTATTCTTAAAGTGTTCTGGTGGTTTATTAACTTATCACCTATATTAAGATCATTCAGAGGGTAATTTTCCCCTGGAATTCTGAAGGTATTGGATCAAGATATTATTTAAATTACTGCTTTATACAAAATGTATCTTAAATTGAGAGTTAAAGATATATTAAGAAGTTGTTTTTCCTACATGACCATTAAGATAAAATATTAACCACAATGAAATCAGTTCATTTAGTCCTAGGTAATTCTTGTTATACTGATCTAGGGTGAAGTAATCTACTTACACAAAGTTGTCTGCACTGGACTAACACAATCATGGAAATTCTAACCTATTCTCTTGATACAGTTATGACAGATGTTGATTCATGAATATAATGTTAACTTATAACAGGATGCCTGCATCCATGAATCTTTTCCATGTAATAGTAATAGTTAAGATGATTTGGTACAGTCCTTTACTTCAGATTTTGATGTTTATTTAGAAGACACTTTTTTTTCCCATCAGGTACAGTGACAGCAAGGATCTTGACTCACTTTTGTTTCTTGAGTCTCATTGCTCTAGTCTGACCTAGTTGCTCTCTATATCTGGTACACCACTGTCATCCTTAGAATTTTATTTACCACTGTGGGGATTTCCTTCACCCCTCTTCTGTGTAGGACCCTTGTTTTCTATGTGTCATGTCTTTTTATTGACTTATTCTGTCATTAGGGGGAGGAGACCATATTCTCTAGTAGCTTTTTGAGAAGATGTGTGTGAGAGGCATATCTTTTGAGACCATGTGTGTCTGAAAATTGTCATTCTGTGTTTTTATGCTTGATTGATAGTTTGGCTAGGTATAGAAATCTAGGTTGGAAATTATTTTTCTTTAGAATTTTAAAGGCACTGCTCCCTGATCTTGCTTCTATTAATACTGAGAAACCTGAAGACATTCTTATTTCTGACTTTCTCCTCCATGGAAGCTTGTAGAATCTGAGATTAGCTCCAGTGTTCTGAAATTTCACTGTAATTCCTTGAAGTAGAACTGTTTATTATTGTTTGCTCACATTCACTGGGCCCTACCAGACTAGCAACTTTTGCCTTTCGGTTTAGGAAGTTTTTCTTAAATGATTTCATTGGTGACATCTTTCTTTTGCCATTCTGTCATTCTAGTATGAATTTTCAGATGGGTACTCCAGTTTTCTTATGTTTTTCCTCCTATTTACAACTTTGTCTTTTTGCTCAGGCAGATTTCATCAGCTTTGTCATTGAGTCCTTCTGTTGAGTTTTTCATTTTTTTCTATCATGTTCTCAATTTCTTTTTTTTGTTCCTTGCCTATAGTATTCTATTACTGACACATAAATGCAACATCTTTTCTTATCTGTGGATATTAATATTTTTTGAAATTTTCTTCCTGATAGTCTGTTACTTTGTGTTTTTGTTTTGTTTTGCTTTTTTGTTTTCATCTCTATCTTCCATGTTACACTTTTCTTAGTTCCCTACGTCTTCCTTGCCTGACTGTAGAATATATTATGGAAGATTAAAAAGTTGATTAGAATGTCTAAATTTATCAGTTTTGAACTTCACTATAGGCTGATTTGAGTAGGCCATTTTGGGAGAGCTCCCAAGACCTTAAGGTCTTTTGTACTTGTTAAGATACCCCCAGAGAATATCCTTCCATTTTCATCTATGGAGAATAAGGGTTTGATTGTAGCATTCTGGGAGATTATTGGAGGAACAGGACTAGGAGTCTCTGCAGTCAGCAATGTTACTCTCTTTTTGGTATGTACTCTCATTTTTAACTGTGGATGTTGTCTTCAGACTTTTGCTAGGATTGTGGTGAGCAGGTATTCAGTGGAATGTATTTGGTGACGGCATCTAGGGTATCTTACTGCTTCACAAACAGCTTTCACTAGTCCCTTTTTTTTTTTTAAAGATTTTATTTTTTTCCTTTTTCTCCCCAAAGCCCCCCGGTACATAGTTGTGTATTCTTCGTTGTGGGTTCTTCTAGTTGTGGCATGTGGGATGCTGCCTCAGCGTGGTCTGATGAGCAGTGCCATGTCCGCGCCCAGGATTCGAACTAACGAAACACTGGGCCACCTGCAGCGGAGCGCGCGAACTTAACCACTCGGCCACGGGGCCAGCCCCTCACTAGTCCCTTTTTTAACCACATCATCCTATTTGCTCCCCTCACTTCAATTTCCAAAGGTACCTAGTTCTTCTATTTCCTATGTCTTTTGAAATTGCTGCCATGTAAATCAAATTGGTTCTTAACTTGTTCCCAGTACAACCTGGAATATGGGTTTTGGGGAGCTGCTAAGTTAGTTACCAGTGGTTCTGCTTATTTTCCAGCTCCCTAAATCTTTGTAGCTATTGTCTCTCTTACTTTTCTCCCTGTTCTTGAGGATTTATGCCTTCAAAAAATACCTTTACTGTAGTTTTTAATATGTATGATGTTGATAATTTGTATAATTAAAGTATATTAACTGGATAAATGAAAAGTATATTTACCTTCTCTCTAGTGCAATGAAACCTTTTGTTTAGGTTCTATGGAATTTTCAATATTTTGCATATGTAAACTTTTCTAATAGTGTGATATATGCTATATAAAAAGTGTAGTTGACTAGAGTTAATCCTCTTCTAGTTCTGTTTCACAATACTTGTGTGACTGCTGGCAAATGATTACATTCTCTGGTCATAAATATCTGAGATTATAGCATTCTTATTTTACGTGGTCATTGTAAGAGTGAAACGAAAAAATTATGTGAAAAGTGCTAGTTTTTATTTAGGAGGAGATAAAATATTGAGTAATCATGGAAATATTTGCCTAATATTAGAAATAGTTTCCAAATGTGTTTACTTTTACATATAAATGGTGATTGGGTTTATTAGACTGACCCTATCTGAAACAAATTTCTTATAATCTATGACATTATATAATCAAGTTATATTCTTTCTTAGTAATATTAAAAAATTTAAATGTAAATAGTATGCTTATGTTCTATAATTTTCTGTAGATTTTCCTCAGAGTTCAGCTGTTCTAAGCATGTAGTAGCTCCTGTATAGTGCCTATAAAAACACTAAAAACTGGAAAATGCTCTACAAAAGGTATTTTTTCCATCCTAGGTTTTGAAGTGCAGAGGTCTGTTAGGCCAAGACCACAAACTTAATTGACTTATTAGTTGACTGCTTCTTCTTCCTAGAAAATAAGGGTTGAGATCCTGAAAATGAAAGTCCTTAAAGATACAGAATTTTCTAAGATTTTTGTGGTAGAAATGAAAATACTGGGAATTAATTTCAACTCAGTATCTATTGAGCAAATAAACATTGTTTCACACTATGGAAGTGAATGGAAATGAATTAAGTTGCAGTTTCTGTCCCTTTGGAACTGATATATAAAGATAGAAGTAATGACGTTTGTTAAGTGTAATGATAACATGCATGAAAGATCTTGAGAGAGAGCACTTGGACCTGGTTTGGGAGATGGACATAGTAAGGAGAAGGGAGAGTAAGGAAAAGATTGTCAGTAAGAAGGAAATTTAGGTTGAATCATGAATAGGATTTATCGGGTGAACTAGGATATTTTTTTTGGGCTAGAGAGTAAAGCATGTTGGCAGTGGCACCCGTTTTCCGAATAACAGCCTAAACATTTTCCTTTCCTAAACTGTTTCCATGATGCACAGAAACACAACCAATGTGGAAAGGGGTGGACAGAGTTCCGTGGGCTCAGGCTGAGTGTAGTCTAGGGTACATGGAGGTCTTAGCACTTTTGTGAAGTTGTGTAATCTCTGAGCTTGTTTCCTCAATCACGAATTGGAGAGAAAACCTGCCTTGTAGGGTTAGTGGGAGAATTAATTGAGATAATGTGTATAAAATTTATCTAAAGGCTTGATCCACATTAATGTACCTCTCTAGTCCTTTGTCTTGTAAAGCCCCTTACATATAGTAGACAATCAGCATATTTATTGATTTGACTTACTGTGCCTTGGGATAATACAGAAAATCTAGTAAGTTGGTAGTAAAATGATTATAGTGGCTGGAGGAGGATTGGTATAATGATGAAATTTAGATTGTGTGTCTTATTTTGAAATCTAAATTGGGTGAAAAGTAGATCTTATAGCCAATAATAGTAGCCATCTAGCTGCTTAGCTTACCAAGAAAGCTTAGAGTGAGGAAAAAGTAGCCAGGGTTTACATTGGAAAGGTATTTGAGAAGACAGGGGAGGCTTAAAGGGGGGAGGGGGCGGCGCTTTATACATTTCATGATGTGGTACGTAACTTAAATCTTTGTGGAACAGACTTCCAAAAGAATCTGCTTCCTGAATATCAGAATCCGTTCATCAAGCAGCTCTAAGTGTGTTGGCTATTTGTCCCCCATTAACCTTACTCACATTCCGGTGCTACGGTAATTTCTATCCTGTTTGACTCTTACCAAGGTCTTGCTTTCAATGAATAGATTTGAGCCACCGTCAGGGAATCACAGTTACATTTTTGAAGAACTAATGTGGCTTGGATCAGGTACAACCTTTTTTTTTTCCCCCTGAGACAGTACCCGAAGCAGTTTTTATATACATGATCCAGTTTGCCTCATGTAGAATAAATAAGGACCTTATAAAAGCTGATTTTTTTTTTACCTTTATTATGGAAAATTTCAAATATACAGAAATAGAATGAAATAATGAACTCCATGTGCCCATCACTCAGCTTGAACAATTATCAATTTATGGGGCCCTTCTCCTTTTAGTTACACCCCTCCCACTCCCTACACCCTTAACAATTGTTTTAATAAATACCCAGATGTAGTGGTGGATAGAGACCAGATAGCACAGGCCAGCTAAATTTGAGAAAGGTAAACCAAGGGAGAGAGAAGGAAAAGGTGATAGCTCGTGTGACCTGTCAAGCAGATTCTGTCTATGCTTTTGTTCCTCAGGTCTCTTGATGGCTAGGTTACTGCTAAGACAGATTTGTTGGGATCTCTCTCAAATTTGTCTTGTTAATATACCTACTTTCAGACTGAATTATACCCTTTTGGTCTCCTTATTTGTTTTTCCCCAGGAGTGTCCACATTCTTTATTTGCTTTTTACCCATATCAAAATGTTGCGAGGTCTGTGGCAGGGCATGCAATTTAATTTGCCCTGGGACCAAACATTCACCTGGAAATGTCTTTGTGACCATCTGGACTACAGAAGAGAAGAAATTATTTTTATCTTTATGGCAGATTACTCAAAATAACCCTTGTTGCCATCATAGCTCTAATGACTCTAGTCCCTCCCCAGCAGTTATTTAAAATTATTGTCAAGATTCAAAAATTTGATTGCCAGCTTTAACCATTCTGCTGGATTTGAGCACTTTGGGGCTTAGATTCTGTAGGGAAAATCTTTAATTAGCCTTCTATAAATGGAAATTGACTATCAGGATTTAAACATCTTAATTTCCAGAAATTGTAAAAATTGGCACTCTTTTCATGGTAAAAGTACTATAAAAGATTTTTTAAAAAGGGAGCCTTGAGCAGAGTTTGACTTTTTTTTTCTGGACTGAAATGGAGGCTTTTTTTTCAAGCGAATTCCCTGATGTTTGCTGTGTGTGATTTGGCTCTATCTCTGTAACTGCTAATATGTGGCGTGGACTTCAAGCTGCCTGGGATCTGGATGTGCCCAAAGTCTGTATTGCAAGTCGGGTTTCACAGGCATTATGTTACAAAACTGGCTTGCTGCCTTAGCTGTTTTCTCTGTCCTGAGTAGCTGCATTGTTTGTTGCAGTATATGCATTAGCTGTTGTCTGTGTTCAGTTTCCTGCAGGCTGACAAAGTGGGAGGGGCTTTGTTTGATTCATAGCTGAGTTTTCACTGTGTGAGTTCTTGAGTGCACATTGCAGCCATCTTAATTACACTTTAGTGCAACTGAGACAGTGCAGCTGTCTCAAAATGGCTGCTAACCTAGTCTTTGTAGCTGCTTAGGCAGCAACTATGCCAGTGAGGAGACTTGTCACATGCATCAGGACCAGAGGTAAGAACCAATTACTCTTTATCTTTGAACATTTTAATTAAAAAACATTGTAATTTTACTGAGTTTATATAGGAAGATAAACTTAGAGCTTGCTGGCTAAGAACTTGAAATGTTTGCTGATAGAACCTTTAAGCCTCTGTTATGGAAACAGTACATAGGTTGGTGAGGTCAAAGGTTAAATTCCTGTAATTTCTCACCATCTTATGTTCTGTCATTGCCAGAACATTTGATCATCACAGTAGTATTTTTCTGGCTCTAATTAACTTAATATTCCTTTTGTGTTGGATATTTTAGTTTGCTTGATATTTATTTGTAGAAATTAAAAGCAGTATATCATCTGAATAGATTTTTAAAAGAGAAGCCATAAATAAGCCTTGTTTTGCACGAAGAATGCGATTTTCCTGGCTTTTTGTGTGTGTATGTGTGTTTTGGAGGTATTGTTTGGTAGCTTTCTGGAAAGAATGTTAATTCTCTGGATATAAATCATAGTTACAGAAAGAAAAAATTTTTTTAAGACTGTTAGAGTTTTTTTGTACTATAGGTTCCAATTCTTTCTCCTTATGCTGCCTCCTCCCGGCCATCCAATTCTTTCACATTTTTAATGGTGCTAACTTTTTATCCTAATTACTTTTTTCTTAAAGTGGCATTCAGATTCAGATTTTGAATTTAGAAATAAGTTCACACCTTCTAGGTCTGGATACCCCTTTTCTTTATAGCTAATGGATTCTAGTGCAACAGAGCTGAAGCAAATGCTCAATTGTTTCAATTAATTAAGTGATATTAATTGTTGATGTCCACTTTAGTCTTAGTTTAAACCTGTGGTATATTTAAAAGTAATATAACTCAATGATTTTATAAGTTTAGTTTCAAAATTTTCAAAAGGCTTTCTTAACATTGTTCTGAAGTAGAAACGTTTATTGAGATATTGTAAGTTCATAGTGACCCAGAAAGGTGGGAGAATGAAATTTGTATTCACATAATATTTCAGATAGCAGAACAGTTATACTTTAAGCGCTAATATTTAAATTGCAGTACTCATTAAAATTTTTTCTAGGTGGTATAGTACATTCCTCTAGCTTTGTCAATAGAGTGTTTTGAATATATCCCTGACTAATAGGACATAGAACAATAAGTTTTGAACTTTCTAAATGCAACAACTTTTAAAAAACAGCAACTTTTTGCACATTAAATTCTTATGAAGGACCCCAATATATAAAAGGGATACATGTGGTATTTTATCGTTGTATGCTTATTTTATAATGTACATTTATAACCTTTACTTATTATAAGTTTATTTAATAAAATGAGAACAATTAGGTTGATTAAAACAAAATTTTGAAATCAGAACATATATGACAGTTCTAATCTTCTATTAGTGTCAGGATCTAGGTCGTTTATTTGTAGAACTCCAGGCGCTAAGGGACTGTGGAATTCAGTTTGAAAAGTATTCTAGAACGTATATTCTGTTTTGATTTTCATGAAGGTAGAGTATAAGATCTATATTTATAAAGTTTAACAGTTTAAAATTGCTGCCTTGCCAAAAAATTGTGTTTATATTTGTTCTTAGTTTCTTTTAAATAAAGTAATTGTTCATTTGTTCAGTGGCCTTAAATATATTTGACATTACTAGCTCAGTTTCATCAACAGCTTTAGCATGCTTATTTCACTTTCATTAACTTATTACTTTGTAACGTTGTTAGGACTATTTATGTGATATAGTAGATTCTCATAAACGGAACATTACTTTATGTAAATCCAGCCCTATGAACTTGCCCCTAAAAGAGAAAAAGAACACTGAATTCATTATGCGTGAGAGATTCTATCCATCATTCCTTTCAATAAGGTTGTGCCCTGGAGTAAGACATAGGAGAGCGAATGTGCTTAATCACTCTTATTTTCATGCCTCTCATAGTATGCACAGCTCACTGTGTTTCAAAAGTTTCATACAATTCAAGCCAGCTACTTGGTTTGATATTCTTTATTGCTGGAGGAAAACTGGCTAGGTTGAAATTATTGATCAACTTATGTTAATCTTCAGAGTAGGACCTCAGGGAAATTTTAATGATCCACTCTTTTTGCCTTCTGTTAGGGACTATAAAATTTACCTCCACCCTTCACAAGATGACTCCACTGATTATTTTTTGTACATGGGGAAACACCAGCCCTCTGTGGGTACTCAGGATATTGTTGCTAATTCTTTCAGTGCCATGTTACAGTTTTGCAACTATAAGCATAAACTAGACCTCACTGGAATTATTGTTTTTGAGATTGGTGAGTGTTCAGATTTTCTATGCTGAATTTCAGGTTAGCTGTTGTGCTGAACAACTGAGGGCATAATAAATCTGGGACCTAGGTAATTGAGATTGTTTTTCTTTTGAGGAAGATTAGTCCTGAGCTAACTGCTGCCAATCCTCCTCTTTTTGCTGAGGAAGACTGGCCCTGAGCTAACATCCGTGCCCATCTTCCTCTACTTTATATGTGAGACGCCTGCCACAGCGTGGCTTGCCAAGCGGTGCCATGTCCACACCCAGGATCGGAACCGGTGAACTCCAGGCCACTGAAGCGGAACGTGCGCACTTAACCACTGCGCTACTGGGCTGGCCCCGATAATTCAGATTTTATGTTATTATTTTGTCACTTTTTCTTTCCCATTTGTTTACTCTTTTCATAAGCCCTTTCATTAGCGTAAGCCTTTAAGGGAAATGTTGAGATAGAGGAAAGAACATTAATCAAGAGTTCAAACCTAAATTTGAATCCTGTTTTTGCTACCTTTTTCTTGTATTGACCAACTCATTCTATTTTCTGACTCTTGGTTCCTCCTTTATAAAATGGAAAAATTCCTATCTATTTGGCAAGGATATGCTGAGGATCAGTTTACATAATGTTTCTGAATATTACCATGAAATACTCCATAGATATCTAATTTTCCAGTAATATTTGAATGCTTTTCAGTTTCTTTGCTTCCCAGATGTCATACATTTTATCATATGTGATTGGGTCGGGGAATGTGGTATGTTTAAAAAGTATAGGAAATTTTTCATATAACTCATGCTCAGAAGCAAGAAGTGCTAACTAACATCAATATATATTCATATTTGTACCACTGGCTTCTACTCTGTTACATGAAGTACCCATCCTTTGCTGTATTGGAGTAGTAGCAGATGTATTTATTAACTAGAACAAATATGGAATGTTGGCATTACAGAAATAGAGGAGTAGGAGAAATGTTTCAGTTCTAATCTGGGTGAGTCTTCCAAATATACTGAGAAAAAATTATTTCTCTAAAGAGATGATTTGAGTTCAGGGCCTAGAGTTTTATGTGTTTCAGTATAAATGCAATCTTGAGAACAGTACAGTTCTCTTTCAATGGCCATAAACTGGCAGCCAACAAACTTATTTTATACTTTGGCCACTGCCCCATTTCTCTAGTTGTTAAGATTTAAAGCTGTCAGGTTTTACATAAAAATCTGGATGTCTCATCTGTTGGAAAATAGAAGAGTGGGCAGCACTGGGAATGCATTTCTGCTTGAGAAAAATAACCTATAGCTAAGTAGCTACTATCCCTTTCAGATAGGGCCTGCTCATTCTGCTCACATCTGGTCTTCTTCCTTAACTCACATTACCTGCTAGGTCCCTGTAGGCTGTTTCTTTTAAATCTCTGTCCTACTTATTTGACAGATTGTTGGCAGCTGTCTAAAATACAGCTTCTAACCCAGAAGAGAGTAAACATAAGTAAAATCTAGTCTACTTCACTTGGTAGGAGAGACAGCATATGTAAAGTCAGTTCATTCTTTCTTTTTTTTTTTTTTGGGTGAGGAAGATTTGCCCTGAGCTATCATCTGTTGCCAGTCCTCCTCTTTTTTTTTTTCACTTGAGGAAGATTATCCCTGAGCTAACATCCGTGCCAGTCTTCCTTTACTTTTTGTATGTAGGATGCCTCCACAGCATGGCTGATGAGTGGAGCAGGTCTGCGCCTGGGGTCCGAACCCACAAACCTGGGCCAGTGAAGTGGAGTGCATGGAACTTTAGCCACTTGGCCAAAGTTTGTTCTTTAGAAGATATAGCATCTTTGCTAACCGTTAGCCTTGTCTTAACTTTTATATTAGAGTACCGTGGTAGCTGAGTGAAGGAGAGCCAGAAACATCAGCAAAAAGTGACGACTGAAAGTGAAGAGATTAAAAAAGTATGAATTAGAAACATATAAGTACTTTGAGGTCTTTTAATGTGGCAAGTTCTCTTTTCTTTAAATGTTATCACTGTGTTAAAGACATGACTATCTATCAACTTGATGTTCTTGATGATATTGAATAGGAAAAAGTTAAATTATATTTAAGATAGGCAGTTTACTAAACAAGTAAATGAAGTACATTTTATAAAAGATTTTTGCCTAAATTGATTGAGCTAAGAAGTTTTCACACTTAAAATGAGTAAGTTCCTAATAGAAAGTTTTCTTATCCACGCTAGACTAGATAGTTTCAGAGGCCGTTGTAAACTTATTTTTGTTGAAAGTTTGCTCCTGTTTGCGTAACTTTCACTGTCTCAACTGTGTGAAGCTCACCTTGATGAGCCGTGAAACGTGGTGGTTTAGAATCATGAGCTGGTGCGAATTTAAATTCCACATTTTCCAGAGTGAAAGCTGGCTTCTCAGCATCTGTGTAATACCACGACGGTGGTAACTCCAAGGAAACGTTAAAGCATGTTATTCCTTTTTAGAAAATGGCTTTCAAGTTAGAAAACTTGACTGAAAATTGAAAAAGCAGGTAACTTGCACAGGAAACACTGACTCCCCCGCTTTCCTACTCCTCATACTCCCAAAAAAGAAAGTGATTTGGGAGAAAACTTAGTCTGTTCAAATGAGGGATTTTTAAAAAATTGCTCAGGTTAGAACTTTCACAAAGTGTTCTCTATTAGTAATTTGTAACAGTCTGTTATTAGTCATTAATGTGTGAATATGAAAATGATGAAAACAGTGCTTATTGACTTAATGAATCTTTGAGTTT